TTTTTTTTTTTTTTTTTTTTTTTTTTTTTTTTGCGACTCAATAATAGAAACTCCAAAGTTAAGCATATTGGTTGACATACAAGAGAATCATATTCAATTAATAACTTAAATGGTCTATAGTATATGGTTAAAGTTGGATGTCTTATAGTGGTAGATAAAACTCAATTGTTACAAATGATTTGATTCAATTTGTTTGTGTGGAGAATGACTTTTATAGCTTATTCAATATGCCACAATATGTCTACCATGGGTGAGAATGACTTTTATAGTCAATTCACTGTGCTTACCATTTTGGGCACTTGACCAAATACTGAACTTGGAACATAATTTCACGAGATGGAACTTATTAGGAGCTACTTGACCAAAAAGGGAGTTGGGAACATAATTTCTTGAGATAAAACCCATTTTGTCCCATATAGGATAAGTAGATGAGTAGTACCAAGTTGTACTTATGAATAACTTGTGAAGGATCAAATTGTTTGTAATAATTAAGCAATTAACTAATTTGGGACTCCAACAATACATCCTTTGTTCTAGGTTCACATGTTCTTCTTTTGAGACTTAAGAATTCTATTGATATGAAGTAAAGGCATGTGGCTTTGCTTTTGATTTCCTCTAAAGCCATCATACCAATGGAGATAATGTTCCTTATTTATATACCTATGATCTTCCCTTAATTAGCCAATATGGAACTCCAAAAATCCTCAGTCCGGTAACCTCTTGGAAACTTAACCAGTAAGCATGTGAGTGAGAAACGAGAAGTAAGTAACATGGCTGTGTTGGAGGGGAATTTCAGGGAACACAAGTGTCAAATCTTGATTCAAAATCCTAATATGAATTCTAGGAATGAGACATGTGACACTCGAGTAAAGGAGGGGTACATGAATGAACCAAGACTACATATGAATGAGAGCGATCCTGAAGATAGGTTAACTAAAAAAGGCTCAAAAGAAATGAAACTTACTACCTATATCACAAGGTGCACCCTATATTAGGTGACCTCTTAGGAATTTTTCTAGGATACATGCGAGTGAGGACAAAACATGCTGAAAGGACTTGTGTTCGTATGTAGAGATAGTCTTCACTCTAAGAATCGAGAAATAGGTAACGTGATCATGTCGTAGGGGATTTAGATGAATATCGAGGCCATTAGGTGTTGAATACTAATTTCGAATTCCAATCTGAATCATGAACATGGGTTGTTACATATCATTATAAATAGTTGAGTGAGTATAAAAATATTAAGTGGTTCACTTGTAAGGTCACCGTACTTAAAAATAATAGCCATAGGCTCTGCCATTCTTTTAGAAGTTTCATTAATAGTAAGTTTAATTTTGAATTTTTTTTTAGAAATTTTAAAAATATTAATGAAACTTTTGAAAAATTTAGAAATATTTTGTAGGTAGAAAGATGAAAAGTTTTTTTTTATTATTATTAATTTGGCATATATATTAAATTAGTATCACTATTTGAAGTATGAAAAAGCATGGAAACAACCATATTTAATATGAATATTATAGTTGATGGTCCCCAGAAAAACATTATATGAAAAAAAGAAGAGTCTGCGCAAAAATATAAAGTAGAAAAAAAACATGCTACAATTACAAATACATTTATTTTGTAACAATTAAATACACGTAATTTTTGTCAAACCACGATCCAACTTTATCTAATTATTATTATTTTTTTAAATTGAGTTGACATGATTAATATAATGATACAATTAAAAGAATTGATTAACCCAATAACCTCATACAATATTTTTTTTAAAGAAAGTATTTATAAAAAATTGTTCAAATTATAAAATCATTCCAAAAATTAAACAATACAATTAAAACCTTGATCTGTAAAGGTCATTAACCCAACCCATTAGCAGCTAAGAACTTTTATTTTATTTTAAAAATAATAATAATAATAATAAATAAATAAATAAATAGACTCTCCCAAAATGGTATTTTTTTTTTTTTTTTTTTTTAAATACATCCATTCAATTACTTAAGAGCCATGGAACTATTTTCTTTCTTAAAAAAATTGAAACCCAAGCTACCTAAATTTTATGAGATTGTGCAAAAAGACAATTTAATAATCCTATCATATGTAACACGATATCAAACTATGATATTTTATATCAATTCATGCGTAATTCACCAACTAAGATATTTGTATTCTTGATTAAGAAGTTTAAAAAAAAAAAAAAATCCAAATCTCAGCTCCACACTAAATTTCACAAAATATTCTAAAACTTTACCATATATTTTTAAAAGGTTTCTATTTAAATAAATAAATCAATCAATCAAATGGCTCTATGATTATTTTTAAAGATAGAAAGATAGAAATGTGTTTAATAGAGTTTTTTTACTTTAAAAAAAAATTACTAATCTTATTTTTCACGTAAGACAAAGATCTCGGCGATGCTCATGGCACTGAAGGCTAGTATTTTCTTTGTTTTATTTAGATTTTATTGGTTTCTGGTTGTAATTGTTTTAACAATTTATTAAGAGGATATTTTGCTGTGATTGTATCCTATTTAAACGTGGTAAACCTGAATGAAGATCATACTTTCGATCCCAATTCTATTTCTATTTCTCATTCTTAACACAATTTTATTATGAACTAGTCTCTACCTCATTAGAAATTATTTTTAAAGGTTTTTTTTTTATGTAATAATTAAATCACGCATGTAATAACAATTTAATTTCAATAATAAAAATCGGTCGTTATATAGATTGTATCATAGGAAAATAATAATAATAGAGTCTATAATATATGTTTATAGATATATATATATATAATATAAGTAGGTTGTTTTGTTAGCAGCCTCGAGTAAAGGGTAGAACAAGTAGTGAATGAGTCCACAACCATTTAAAATATTAATGCATATGACTTCAAAAACTATATTTTATTGCATGAGAGAGAGGGAGAATGATTCATGAATTAATTTAAATTATCCCATTGATTCAAATATTTTAATATATCTAATTTAAAATGTTTTTTAAACTGTCATCTTCAATAGATTTGGAATGAAATTGGATAAACTTTGAATAAGATTATCAACTCCTTATAAACTTTGAAAATCTAAAAAAAAATCTCAATACATCACTCCATATTTGAAATAACCCTATAGGGAGAAAGATAATCTATATATTTTTGGAAACATAGTAGAGATAATTAAATATTCATTTACAATATTACCGTGTATTGACGAGTTAAACAAAATATCTTCTCCAAATAATTAATTTGGTAGGTACCAATAATTAACTATTTTCCATATAAATATTTTCTTTTTACTTTTAAAAGAAAATAGTTTTTATGACTCTTGTGGTACATAAATTGTTTTGATCTAATTCAAATATTGGAGTATGTGTGGCAAATATCATATTGGTGTATAGATATTTCTTGTTTTACGACTCACATCTTTTCACTCAAATAAATTCACCATTGTTGTCATGGGAAGGTCCTCTAACTTTTCACTTGTTTGGATTCTAGTAACAATAGTTGACACTATCTTTAAGAGAAAAAATGTTTGCCGGTAAAATTTGCTAGTCCGATCAAGGATGAGAAGATGATGAAAAAGATCGGTTGTGTTCATACTTCCTCTATTGTTTTGCATGTGTTTACATATCTAACTCCAACCATGGATGACTTAAAGCATGTGCTACCTTAGTTTTTCAGGTAAAGGTAAAACTCCTATGCACAGATGACGATGAATACTGAGAAGGTCATGAAAGTCAAAATGGGGCATAATAGGACAGTTGAATGTTTTGAAATTTAAATTAGTAGATGATAAGTCGAGTTGGATTTCGATCGGTTGTTGTTTGGTGTTTTTCTAAAGTTTGGTTTTCATTTAAAACTATGCTAGGTTGAATTTCATGTTTTGAACTAATTATGTAAGACTATGGTTTTATTTTAAAGATGTTTATTATAAATTTCCGCATTTATGTTTTAAGCATGCATGGATTGATGTCACTAATTAAGTTAAGAAAATTAGGGGCGTTATAAACTATTATCTCCAA